GGTTTGTAGGGACACTGTCTGCTCTGTGGTACAGAGTCCTGATCACTCCTAACTTGTGTTCCAGTGGGTGGTGGGAGTCAAAACGCAAATATTAGTAGTTGAGGTATATTTAATGATTAATTCCTGCAAATTACAATAAAATGAATTTAGAAGTGTGTGATTTTAAGAACCCACGCAGAAAATGAATCACTATCATCCTCTTTTGCCTCTCTGCAGCGAGCAGCTGAATGTGGAGTTATATAAAATAAAAGACAAGTAGCTTTGTTTTCATTAAAGTGCCTTTTGTTGTATTCAAATCCTCAACTACGACTTGTCTATGACTTGACTATGTTCATTTCTGCTTTCACCGCCATCACTCTTCTGCAGGTCACCTTTAATCCTCTTCAAAGTTTCACTAGATAAGATCAAAGTACCTGGATGATTTGCCTTCGAATCGGTACTCCTTCTCACTCCAGTCATCAAGGTCAGGGGATTGAATTTGTCCGAGGACTGTCGTCGGGAGAATACCTGTCAGAAGCAGAAAGGAAAAAGACACACAAAAAAGTCAAAAATGCATTCACTAGAAATAATTAGTTTTGAGCACAAAGGGATCCCTGTAGTACAACTCAAATATTAGGAGTAAAAGGAAGAATACGAGAGCTTCTTTAAAAAGATGAAAAACAGGTGACGACTTTCTGGTGCTGGCTTAAAGGCACATCAGRAAAATGTGCACACAGAACACTTTACACCATGTTTCTCCCAAGATTCACCACCTCGCCTAAAAAAGCTGAACTTYGTGTTGTAATCACTTTAGCCCTGAAATAAGCTGCCTTTTAAAAACGCACCCTGTTTACGTGCCCGTCAAAACCTGGGACATAAGCTGGAGTTAATTGTTTGCTTCATGACATGTTTTCCAGGGACGGTGGATTTGTATTAGCAGGTTAATGTACTTTCATGTGGAAAGGCCCTAGAGAGGGAATTCACTAAAAATACATTACAAAAAAAATTAAAAAATTAAAAACTCTAGTTTTTCCAGCAAATTACAGCAGGCTGACAGATGGCATGAAATACTAAATAAGTGATGTGGCTGCAGTGGATGGCTGTGGGTAGTCGAGTGTGACGAGTACAGTCCTAACAACATGAGCACAGAGCGCTCAGGAGGTTGTGGGCGGAACATTAGCTAACCTGAACATTAGAGGAGCCAGTCTGTGACCAGAAAGATGCCAGTCAGTCCACCAACTGGGACAATCAATTATGAGTGTCTGACAAATGTTTTCTTCTGCAACAACTACCATAAGGGTGCCCTTGAGCAGAGAAGCCAGACCATAACCACTGTGCTAAAGCAAAACGTTTAAAATTGCAGAGTCTTTGAGTTATAAAATCTGGAATGAATAAAAAACAGGAAAGCTTTTTGCTGTAAATCGAGACCCTTGTTTTAGAGAGACAATAGAAAGAAAACTATTTAGAATTTGCTGCTTGGTTGTTGCAAATAGACCAATTTTGTTCTGGTTGTTTGCATGTGAAGCATTTTAATATTAGAAGAAAAAGAATGATTGTGTTACTTCTTAAAAAGTGAATTATTGTAAATTAAGCCTCAGAATCACAGCTGTAAATATGGACTGTACAATACCAGTTAAAGAAATCACATTGAGTAAAAGCTAAAGAGTAAACAAACTAAACAGAAAGTTAATTATAAGCACTCTTTGAATTATTTACAATAAATAAATAAATCCTTAAATTACATACAGTATTTCTTTCATTTACAAGTTTTCTTCTAAACCTTTGCAACTCATGAAGACTTTTCCAAATACAGAACAAGGCCCAGAAACTTGTTCCATCAGAAACTGCATTTAATTTCAAATTATGCAAATACAGATTCAGTCTGAACAATTCAAATTCAGTTTCTGATGGGACAAGTTTCTTCCCATWAAGGCCAAGTATTTATTGAGAATTTTATTCATGATAATATATTTCAAACAGAATTTACAGAAACATATTSGCTTGGTTTTTCAGCACCAGAGATCAGAAATTATCCTCAAATAATTTTTTTTCTATTTGCTGTCAAGGTTTTGAATTCCATGACAGAATGTGTTTAGACATATGCTGATGTTTTATTGTATTGTGTCCAGTTGGTGTGTATTGAAAAAAATAGATTATTCCTGTTAAAGACATTTTTATGTACTAGTTAATGATTAGTCTTAGCTTATTTAGGACAAATACTGTAAACCTTTCAAAAACACAAAAAAGCATCAATATAAACTGAACAGGATAATAAAATGTAGCATCTTTCTTCTCTATATTAAATCATTACTAATAAACAGGAAAACATACCTTCATAACTGTAGACGATAAAGTGTGTGTGTCCAGGTAAGTGTGGGTGGTCATTCCTGTCACCAATGACAACTGTAAGGGTGTTGGTTGAACTCATGGGAGGAGAGCCACCGTCAGTCATGAGAATCGGAAGGCGGTACTCCTTTTGCCGCTCCCTGTCAAAGGTACGGAGGGTGGTGACGGCTGCGCTTCCGTTCCGAAAATCGGTCAAATTGAAGTTGATGGCATCTGAAGTAAGCATGAGAAGCTGAATGGAGAACGGGCCGCCGTTTGTGGAGGTGTCACGGTCAGTCGCGTGAAGGAGCAGGGAGGTTTCGTTCATTCGTACCACCTGCGGTGCTGCAGTGTTCTCCCACACAACRGGCTTATAGGGAACCTCGAACTCAGGCCCGTTGTCATTAACATCGAGCACGGTCACCAGAACGATGGCGGTGCCAGTCAGCGCTGGAATACCTGCGTCTGTTGCGAGGACCATGATCCTGTGCTGCGAGATTTTCTCTCTGTCCAAAGAATGAGCCACAATCACCCAACCTGACTGGTCCACCAGGAACTGACTATAGGGATCTGACTCCTTAAAAATGCTGTAAGAAAAGTGCCCATTTTGGCCTGAGTCCAGATCAGTTGCTGTAACCTGAGTGACGATTGTCCCGACRGGTACATCTTCCGACATGGCGGCTGACTCGTAGAACTGAGGGAAGAAGACGGGAGCGTGATCGTTGGAGTCTTCGACCTGAACGAGGCAGTAGGCCAAGCTGAAAAAATCAGCATCTTCAGCCTTCAGCGTCAGATTGAAAGTCCTCTCGTGGAGTTTCTCRAAGTCCACCCTTTTCTTCAGTTTTATCACGCCACGGCGATTCACTTTGTCTGTCTCCACAAAGAACTTCCTGTCTTCGTCTCCACCAACAATACTGAAGGCAACAACAGCATTCTCACCCTCATCGCCATCAGTGGCAGAAACCACAAGAACTTCACTGTTTACCTCAAGGTCCTCAGTTACCTGTTGGACACATGAATATACACAATTTACTGCTGGTAGTATTCATTTTAAAACAGACATGTCTTAAAGGGGCAATATCATGTTAAATCAACTTTTTTGCGTTTTATATCATGTTATAATGTTATACGCTCCTTAAAAACATGCCCAAAGCCTTGCTTTGACTCATTCATGCATGATTGAGAAATCCTGCAGCGTTTTTAGGAAGCCATGCTGAGGAGCAAAATGACAGACGGGGACCAGAAACGCCTTTGAGGACCAGAAACGTCCCTGGGACGTGTCTTTAAGCCGAACTTCCTCATGGCAGAGCGCACCTCCCCCACTCCTCCCCACACACCCCGCCCATGACTCCTGCAGGCTCTCGGGTGAAACTGAAAGTGAAACTGAAACTGTCTGCTGAGCTAATAACACTATTTCTCACTCAGTGAAGCTCTTTTCAGATTAAAAATACTTTTGAGAAAATATATTTTCAGATGCCAAGTAAACTGCATCATGGCGGCCCCCCCGTGAGCACAACCCAACCCACCCACACTGAAATGGGTGAGACAGAAGCAAAGGTGGTTCTTAAAGAGACAGAAGCCAATTTCAAGGCGTTTAGAAGAGGAAGTGATGAGAAGATAAGTTTATTTTCTATTTAAACATAAAAACAGCATTTTAATAACAGCTAAAGGTGACATAGTTACTGTATTATGGTATAGTATTTAAATGTATGCCTGAGAAACACATAATATTTCTCCTTTAAGGAAAGTTGACTCACCTGAGTAGAGTAGGCCCGTTGAGTAAAAATGGGTGGATGATCATTTACGTCAGAAACAATGATGGTGGCCGTCCCTGTTCCTGACAAACCTCCTCCATCACGGGCTTCCACCACCACCAGATACTTGTCCTCCATTTCCCGGTCCAGTGAACGTAGAACTGTGTAGATGGTCCCTGTCGTGGCGTTTATGGAAAACAGATTGAGGTTGATCTCGTTGCGAATGTTCTTAATGATGCTGTAGGTCAGCATGGCATTCCTGCCCTCGTTGGGATCATCCAAGTCCATTGCACGCATCTCCATGATGGAGGTGTCCGCGGGTGAGTTTTCCGCCACTTGGCCAATGAAACATCCTTCCACTTCCAGAGCAGGGCACGGAAAGAAGGGGGCGTTATCATTGATGTCTCGGACTTCTAACAGCACGTCAGCAAACCCCGTAAGGCCCAGTCCTCCCTCGTCTGTGGCGAGGACGAGGAATCTCCAGGCAGGGCGGTCCTCGCGATCCAGGCGACGCTGAGCATAGATTCTTCCAGAGTGTTCGTCAATGGTGAACTCGCCACCAGCACCCTGGCCATGAAGGGAGTAACGGAGGGCAGTCTGGTCTGCCTCCTGATCGGGATCAGTTGCTGATACCTGCAAAAAAATAAAAATAAAAAATAAAAAAAATTAGGAAACTGTCAAAAAAAAACTACAAAGAGCTACTCAGGTCATGATGTACTTGAGTTATACCTGTGAATTATATTTTTAAATAAAATATAAGACCAGCATTTTTATTTCTTTTGCAGTCTTTCACAATTCCTCCAGTTTTATTATTCAGAATCAATATGAACACATTACCCTGTTTGTTTAAAACATGCCATAAGAAGAGAATATGAATTGGATTTTTCATGAAAATTGTTGTCTTTGTTTAAATTATTATCAATATATGGCATGATTTATATGTGCATGATTTGATAAGGAGCAATTACTGAACCATTTATTTTTGGAATAAACCTTGCTTTATTTAAACTGCAGGAGAAGGTTATTTTCTGTTGCATTTGTTGAGGTGATCTGGTAAAAGGTCTCATGTTGACACTTCACCCCAATTTAGGACCATCATACTTTTTAATCAGAAATTATTCTTTTTGTTCTTTTCCCCATCATGCCTTATCAAAAACAAAAAGGGTAAACTGCTTTTTCATTATGTCCAAATGTCAAATTTGCAAATAGGACAAGCAGCAGCTGCCCCTGCACAGACTCCACAACACAGGAATAAACATTTCTCTGTTGCTTTTCCACGTTTGCTTAATTAACCTGCCTTCCTGCTATCTCTCTGAACAAGGGGACAAGAGCAGCCGCAACAAGACAAGCTCTCACATCTGTCACCGAGACACACAATGCAATTAAAAGTTAATATGTGCCGACAAAAGCAAGAAAAGTACACTTTTACCCTTTCTTCTCTTCTTTTCTCACCAGAGGGTTTGTTTACAGAAGCCTTTGAAGTCCCCCCTGCCCTCCCTTCTGCGGCTGCCTCCCCATGTTGGCTCTTTGCATTCCCTGACATTGTGATGCAGGTACACAATATTGAGGATGAGCAGCGGTGACACCACAGAGGAGACTGCTGCACAGGTGAAGTCACAAATATTCATTTCAAATTGGATTTTCTCCTCCGTTCACCATCTACTGAATTGTATTAGTGCACGAGGCTGAGAGAGGTGTGTGTTGAGGGAGGACCCGTCCGCTGTGCGCCAGAAAAACAAACTATTGAAAGCGTTAGAGAGGAACCAAACGCACATCAAATCAATTCCAGCAGGCGAGAGGAAACAGGCCCATGGTTGAAGACTCTGTGACACATATGCCTCTGACAGAAATTACTTCCCTCCCCTCCCAGACGCGCCTCCACCTTTATAATCTTATTTAGCTTGGCAGCACATGCAAATTACTGTGTATTACCGGAGATAGGTGTGACGGAAGGTGGATGAGATCAACAGAGGAAAGAGGTCAAGTTAAACTTTCCAGTGGCAACTTTTCATCTTTTTCAAATTCTCTTTTTCCTGTCAGATTGATGTCAGAGGAAACCTTGCTCCTTCTTTGAGCATTTATTGTGTTAAACACGTTCATACATGTGTGATGTTTTAGTAAGAGGACACCGAATCTCTGCTAAGGTGTCGCTTCGGGCTAATTTACTCCAAAGCATAACCAACACAATTACACTTGTCTGCACTTAACCTGATACTTTTTCACATATTGTTCATATAAACACTGAAAATTTAACAACACGCTACATTATGTGGATGGAGCCAATTGAAGGTGATACTTTCTCAGGTTTACAATTTAAACTGCGTCATCTGGAAAGAGTGAACATCTGATCTGAAGTTATGGTTAAATGATTAAGCGTGAAGGAAAAACATGTACTATGCAATCAACTCATGTGTCCACTAAGTTTAYATGTCATGGATCACACAGTGGCAGGCGGCTGTCCCAGAATGCATTGGGACAAAGCAAAAGTATGGCCTTGGTACAATCTTTTATCACCATTTCACTGTTTGTGTCTAAATAAGTGGCTTCATTGATTTGTTTCAAATATCTTTTAAAGACAATGATAATGTGTGACTTATCAATGGGAAAAAAATATATAAACATTTAAACACTGAAATATTTTGAACTTAACACTTAGAGATGCTTAGAACATTGGTAATTTTAACCTATGCTCAAAACACCCTTGTTTTCATTGGTTTTTCATTGTAGTTGAGCAAAAAGTTTTGATTTTTTATTGGTATTTATTGATTTAACATAAAAAGAATCTACTTGTTTTATGTGAACTTTTATTGTATTTTAGTTCACTTACAATGCTTTCATTATTGAACTTTTGCGCAGTACTTTAGTTAACTATGATTGACTGATTGACTTGCTGAGACTTGGTGGACCATACTGCTGGAGCAATAGTACTTATCATGTCATTCTAGGGCAAAAACCCTTACTGAGAACCTTTTCATGAGACTTATAGCATCAGTCCCAAACAAACTCACTGACTGACCTCCAGAATGAACACAGGAAGCTGGGTGAGTTCCTCCATCACGGAGGCATGGTACTCGGTCTGGCTGAAAACCGGTGCTTCGTCATTGCGGTTCACCACTTGAACCACCACCAGCGTCTCGTTCTCCCACTTCCCATCAGAAGCAACCAGCCGGAGCTCGTAGCGCTGCTCCATCTCGTAGTCGAGCGGCTGAGCCACAAAGATGGTGCCCACCTCAGGCTCCACGTCGAAGGTCCCCATGGTGTTTCCTGAGGTGATCTGGTAGCGCAGCTTAGCATTGGCACCTAGATGGAAAAAAAATGGGGTCTTGGTCAATTTAAGAGCAGGTTTTTGTATCACAATTTTTACATGTTATTACAATCTTTGTCTTTGGATTTTAGTAGATGCAAATGTATTATTTTATCTAGAAACAGTTCAAAACCTTTAGAACAGGGGTTTTTCAAGCTGTGGGAGACACCTCCCCTAGGGGGCGTTAGAGGTCTTGAGGGGAGACGTGAGGTAAATCAGGAAGTGAGGTGATAATGTAAGGATTATGTTCACACTGCAGATCTTAAATTAGATAATTTGATCATATATTTTTTCGTGGTTAAAATGGGACCTTCTTTAGACGAGTATGAACTGTTCACATTTCAGAGGGGCCCATTATGCGCTGAAGAGGTGAAGTTCAATGCAGCGGCTTTGTTTGAGTAKGTAGCCACATTTGGTACATGTGTTACCGTGTGTGATTCTAAAGTTCTTGTACAATCAGAAACAATTAAATTATCCAACATGTTTGGTGGGCCCTGAGTTTACCTTTGATCTTGTCTCAATTGGCAGATTTTTTTTGGCACAGCATTTTATTTTTGGAGCAAATGTAAAAAATAAAAATACTTAAGTATCCATCCCAACCCGTTCGTATACGGTCCGAGACTAACTTAGCAACATCTGTTACTGTAGATTCAAAGCCATCCAGGATATGGGAAATGAAAGAAAACAGAGACAAAGCTGGACTTTTGTTGTGTAGCTGGTATGCATAATTCGGTGCTTGGAACTGCATTAGATAAGGTCAGTACCTATATAAATACACGGGACAATTTGCTCACTGCTACTATAGTGACGTTCTGTAAGAGTCAGATGAAATGAGACATAAGCGTTCAGAGTAGTTTTTAATACATTTGAAATGTTATGGTGCAAAAACAATCATATTTGGGCCACATTTAGCTGCATCGCGAATAGGCTATGAAAGGAGTTGTTGTGATGTAGAGGGATTAAAAAGAATACACGTTAAATGTTTTTTTCAAAAGCACAGATGCTTAAAGTGTGTAGATTTTTTTTTGGTAGAGTGGAGGAGCAGTTGTTTTTTGCTCTATGGGGGGGG